AGTTGTCATCTACGCAATCCAGGAACCAATCAGCTTTAATACTTGTAAAAAGCTTAGGAATTAGTGGATATAGAGGACATTCAGTTTTTTAAACAGCTGACAGAATATCTGTTTGATTGTTAGGATCTGGAAGAAGATAATTAAAAAGATAGTTGTTCCCTCCAGGCTATCCCCCACCCTCAATAAAAGTGATACAGACATAGAAGGGAAGAAGAACACCAAAAAAAAAAAAAAAAAAAAAAAAACACCAAAAAAAGGGAAAAAAGTCATAAAGGACGAATACCTTTCTCCACAACTCTAACTCGGATTTCTCCTGGTTTGACAACAATGTCAGGTGGGTTCTTGACATCACAAATGTAAGTGCCATTGTCCCGGAACTGCATGTTTGATATACTGATAGAAGCATCTTTCTTGTTAAGATCTCCAGCCCAAGTGATCCTGTCTTTAAATGGTATGTCCTTTCCAGGGTATGGCTTTCCATTAAAGTAATAGAAAAACTGTAGTCAATGAAAAGAGGATATAAGAACAATCCAATTAGAGATTACCAAGCTGCCATGCTTCTTTCATTATTACAGCATTCTCCCAGAATCCACTCTATTACACAAAGCTAGTATTCAAGTTTCTTTTTTTTCCTCCTGCCTCACCACTTGAGTCTAGCTTGTTGCCTCTTGAACCCATAACCATGCTATGGCTTATACCCTCAATCATACTGCCACAATGGACTGCAAATTCCGTTTTTCTGTTGGTTTGGTTTTGTGGTTGGATTGGGGTTTTTGGTTTTTGTTTTTTTGGGTTTTTTTTTCTGTTTTGGGGACATGGAGTTTCACAGAGAAGGAAGTGGGGGAAGTGAAAAAGGCTGGTATCCTGTGAATAATTAAAGGATTGAACAGTTCTGGATCACAGCCATCTCCCTTTTCAGGCACAGGAGGTCTTCTGCACACTATCAGAAAAAGGATACCATGCTTCCCATCTCAAGTTATGCTATGTGCTACTTGCAACTACAACACAGTTAAATGAACAGGCAATACCCTCCTTCCCTCCACCTCCAAAAAATTCCCATGAGCAATTTAGAGCATATCTAGCTATTTTCCAGAAAACTTCACAGTGACTAAATATAACTGTTTCCCAATTTTTAGGTGACTAACTTGTACACTGGCCCTGCACTGTCTAGACTAGACATGACTAAAAATTCTTGAAGAACTAACCAGTCCGGTACAGCCTGAGTAAGAATTGGCAGCAGCAGAAGTGCATAGACTTCTGTATAGGACAGCTCTGCTTCCAAAGATATGGGATGTCTGAACAATGGCCACCACCCTACGAGAGGGACCAAGGCTGTATTGCCTGAGCACATTCATTCTTAATTTCACATTCTGATAGTAAGCAAGACACTCTCAACCCAAACTCTCTTCAGTTCAGTCTCCAAAGCATGGTTAAAGAAATTCAAGACAATATTCCAGCTTTCTCTTTCTACAGCCTTCTTTACAAAGCAGTCTCTCTGCCACAGAACAGACTGGCTACAAGCTAGTACTCCTTCCATCCAAGACATCTCCCTTCTCTTTTCCTGTTCCTACCCTTGATCATCTGGCAGCATGCATCCAGATCAGGTATGTCTATGTGACCATCTGTTGTGCTGCAGTCCATCTGACACATTTGTTATCTACAGGTTAGTATAAATGCAACAAACTATCTCATCTGGTCTCTGCTGCTAGCACACAGTCACCTGTCAACATTTTAGAGGAAATCTGCATCAGTCTTCAGCATTTCCAGCGGGATTATAACCTTTAGCACAGACACACTGCATTACTACATCCCTGTGTACAGGGGGAGTCATCCAACTGGAAGTCTAGAAGGTAAGAGGCAGATTCTTTCTAGGTGGACCTAGGGCAGGAGAAACACCTGAAGGAAAAGAAATCACACACTAAAACATGTCCTGAAACACAAACTAAATGATTCAAGCCACTCCATGCCTAAGATCAAGTGATTTAACAGGAGACTTCTTTTGAAACCCAAAGCTGATGGGTTTAGACTGGTTCAAGCCAATTGTGAAACTCTGCTGTCAGATGTTTGACTCATGTAGAGATGTCTCTATAACCAGGCATATGGAGGGGGATGGGACAAGCAGGGGAAGCTTTCAGTCAAGTCAGCCTCACCACATGGCCACAAAATTGCCAGTGCTGATTCTAAAGAGGCACAGGACCATCCTTTTCAGGAGAAGCATGCATTCATCTCAGACATAAATGGATCATGAGACCAATCTTTCAAACTAATGCCCACAAGACCATTTAACTGACAAGACTTGGGTTCATTTTAAAAAAGAAACCAAACATATATCTTCCCTCTCTACCTCCCCTAGCCCCTCAAAGAAACAGTAAATTAACATCACATTATGCTGGGTCACTTCTATTCAAAGACAGTTTGCTCTTCTCTCAGTAGTGCTGAATAACTATACCCAGTTAGAATGCCTACATTGACTTCACTTCCAAAAAAATGTTATGTCATTAAGTTCACAGAATGGTGAGGATTGGAAAGGACCTCTGGAGATAACTCAGCACAACCTCCTTGCTAAGGCAGGGTCACCCAGAGCAGACTGCCCAAGACTGTGGGTTTGGAATCCCTTCAGACAAGGAGACTCCACAACCTCTCTGGGCAGCCTGCTCCAGGCTCTGACACCCTCATGGGAAAGAATTTTTTCCTCCTGTTCAGATGGAACCTCCTGGGTTCAAGTTCATGACCATTGTCCCTTGTCCTGTCGCTGGGCACCACTGACAAGAGTCTGGCCCTATCATCTTGCCCCACACCCTTGAGATATTGATCAGATCCCCTCTCAGTCTTCTCTTCTTCAGGTTAAACAGCCCCAGGACTCTCAGCCTTTCCTTGCCACAAAGATGGTCCAGTCCCCTCAGCATCTTCAAAGCTTCCACTGGACTCTCTCCAGTATTTTCCTGTGTCTCTTAAACTGCAGAGCCCAGAACTGGACACAGTACTCCAGATGTGATCTGCCTCACAAGGGCAGAGCAGAGCGAGAGGAGAAGCTCCCTCAGCCTGCTGGGCACACTTTTTAATGCACCAAAGGAGATCACTGGCCTTCTTGGTTATAGGAGCACACTGCTGGCTCATGGTTAACCTTTTGTCCACCAGGACTCCCAGGTCCTTCTCCATGGAGCTGCTTTAACACAGGTCAACCTGTAACCTGTACTGATGAATGGGATTATTCCTCCCCAGGGGCAGGACTCAACAGTCACTCCTGTTGAACTTCATTAGGTTCCCCTCTGCCCAACTCTCCAGCCTGTCCAAGTCTCACTGAATGGCAGCACAGCCTTCTGGTGTGTCAGCCACTCCTCCCAGTTTTGTATCATCAACAAACTCGCTGAGGGTGCACTCTGTGCCTTCATCTAGGTCACTGATAAGTATGTCAAACAGGAGACTGGACCCGGTACTGACCCCTGGGGAACTCCACTAGCCACAGGCCTCCAACTAGACTCTGTGCTGCTGATCACAACCCTCTGAGCTCTGCCATTCAGCCAGTTCTCAATCCACCTCACTGTCCACTTATAAGTGGTTTGGATAGTGATGCAGACAGGGAAGGGCAAAACAGGATACATGGTGGACATCTCTATGGGGATCGGAAAACATATGAACAGATGGCTTCTTTTCACCCATCCTGTTCAATATTGGCAGGAAATATGCCCTACCTCCTTAAGCTTTTGCCTACCTACTGCTTTGGTTTCCCAAAGAAAAGAGCTCCCTTTTCAAAACAAAATATTTATTCACTGAGAGTTCAGAAACTGATTCTTCAGAGCTCTCTATATTAAGCAAGATATTCATACACTGTTTTGGAGCATCTCTGGTCTGAGCACTGAAGAGCTCCTAGAGTTTAAATGATCTCACAACTGCAGCAGAAGGGAGACAAACACTAACAGGCAGAGCAACTTTCCGTTCACATACCTTCCCTGCTGCCCCAGAATCCTTTGTTCTGCTTCCTTGAGATTCTCACTGAGGGAAAGGAATAAGAAGCAGAAGCATCGGAGAGCTGACTCCGATGTGCACAGCTTATGCAACAGGGGAAGTAGACAGCTAACAACCTACTAAAGTCATTTCCTTGAATGTTCAGACCTAAAGGACCTGAGCACACTTGGGCTCAACATACAGGAAATGAGTGATGGCAATTACTATTAGCCTAAGTAGCTTGCTAGTCAGATTTTTTACTTGTCAAATAACTAAAATATGAGGATGTAACTGCTTACTGATTTGAGCAATTCAATTCTGTTCTGAAACTAGGGAGACTGGTGTTATTGTAAACGCTTTCAAATAGAGGCTATACACTGCACCAGCAGAAAATAAGCAACATGCACAACACACAATGTAGCAGTGTAATAACAGTAATTCAAATTCTGTGACTGTTATCATTAAGTGCACAGCTCCATGTCTCATTTCAAGTGCAAGAGGATATAGAACTTAGAAGAGTCCTAGATGCTCATCTACTTCATACATATTGCTACCACACCAACAGCCCTCCCCTCTGACTAACAAAGTACTAGCATATTTTAAGCTGCTGCATACTCTAATCTTTGCAGAGATCTAGCATATGGCAATACTTTTAAACAACTCTAAAAAAGCATCCCTAAAATCACAGCAATGGAGACAAGACATATGGAAGGAAGCTCCAATCCATATTTGCTTGTTCTTCAGAACCAAGACCTTTGCACATTACCACAGCCTCCCCTCACAGGTTTGTTCCCTTGCAGCCATTCCTTACAGAGATACGAGTTGCAGCTCCCTCTGGTTGAAAACTCCAGGAAACAGATGCTGCACTGCTGATCACTTCCACAGACGTAAATGTGCATGGAAGCTTTGCGTCTGTCCCATTCTCCACAAATATCTCCTCTGGTGTGTTGACCTCTACTGCGGATACTGTATGGGAAAGGTAAAAAGAAGGAAGGAGAAAAAGCGGCATCAATGCTGTTTCGAGCATCACGAAGTTCATATCACATGGCCTGTAAGAGGAAAAGAGAAGAAACATCAACAACTCCTACGTCAAGTGCACAGACACTGCATTATACCTGCAGTACAAACAGGCCAGTTCACACCTCTTTCCTTGTATTATCTATTACAGGATGTTTTCCATCCACAGATGTTTCCTCTACAACAGTTTGTGGAAATGAAATCTCTGGTGCAAAGGATGAGTTTAAAACTCTTTCCTACCAGCTGCCAGCAGATGTTGTCATAAAGAAGCCACATTGGAGGAACTAAGATCCTGAACCCAGCTATTACTCAGTTTCCTCTCTGGCTCACATCTTGTTTCCCATCTCCAGTTCTTCTCGGCTGTAGGTAGAACAAAAGCTCATCTCCAGAAAGCTGAGGAGTAAATCTCTCTGGCTTCCAGCTATGCCATCTGTTTCCGCTCTCTGGCATGCTCCAAGGTCTTTGTTTTCTTGGGGAACATTATTTATGTGCAAGACCACATAAATAATCACTCAGCTATAGTTCAGAAACGTGAGAGTAATTTTCTTCTACCATAGAAGCTTACACACTGTCAAAACAGCAAGCAGATCACAACCACTCCCCAAATTTAAAGCAATCAAGGTTAATATTGTGCTTATACTGGTAGTTTTCCTACAAAGTGAAATTCAGAGTGGTTCAGAAAAACCTGTTGAACATATTCTTTATCCGGCACCTTTTAAACTGCGAAGACACTACCCATCTAGATTTAAGCAAAGATACACATGTACATTAATTCAAGTTTATGTTAAGAAGCAAAGTGTAACCTTGCAACATCACAAAAGAATGTCATTCAGCATTTGTCAGGTCCATGTGAAAGCAAAAATCCTGCAAAATCACTGTTGGTGGGTGCACATGTGACATGTGCCCTTGGTAACTCAAATGTAAGTTTTGATTTTTATTAAACTATGGTTTTCAGTACAGAGATGCTACTAGTCATCTGCTTCTCATCACATGAATCTATGTTTCTGGATTACAATATCTTTAATTCAGGGGTTTTCCTCCCCTATTAGAAAAGCAAAGCAAGCCTTCCACTTCTTCAGAATCTTAATTGATCTGTTTTTCAACTTTGAATAAACTAGTTTATGAAGTAGACAAACTGAAGAGAAAGATTCTAGTCTAAGAGTTTCACAAAAACCCTAACAAAACAAATAAGAAAAACCCACTTACATTAGTCCTTAAATCACGGGGTTTATGCGTTTAGTCAGTGAGAATTATTAGCTCAGCAGCTTCCAAAAGTTAGACAGGATGTTTCCTTCAAGTGATCTGAACATTGTAAAGGTGTAGATTTGTCATAAACCAGGTTATTTTATTGGATCTTAAAATTAATCAAAGCCTATGATCCACAGATTTTTAGAATGCATCTTTTACATCTGCAACTTTAAGCCTTGTCCCCCAAGAAAACAAAGCTCACGAGCTGTGCCACATCCCATCTTCCTCCCTTGCCCTGAGACTACTGAGTCTATTGGGCACCTCCAGCTGACCAGCTGCAGAGCAGGGCCATAAACACAGCACGCAGCACCAGCTGGCCCTGGAATGAAGACTGCCTGCAAGCCCCGGGAGCTGTAGTTTGGACAACGAAATGGCCAAACAATTGAAGGGATGAAAACACCCTGGCCATCTGCCACACCCAACAACTCCTGTGGCTTTGTAGGAACTGCTGTCTCTCACCCAACTAGCATAACAAGCCAGGGGAAGGCAGAGCACATGCCCAGGGGACATGGAATGAGCATGCAAGCACTGCAGGGGTGGGAGATTTAAGCATACCCATTTAATTACAATAACCAAAACCAGAAGAAACCACTATTCATTCACTTTGCCATTCAGAATTTAGCTGTTCACTTCTCAAGCTCACTAACTCTTTAGTCCTTTCAGGTTATCCCGGATCCCTCAGACTCCCCTATCATCATTGCCTATTTCAAATGAGTAAAAGAAACAGCACCCTTAAGGGAGGGTGATTTTCATCAAAAGGTTGTATCAGAGAGGTTTCTCTTGTCCATGAGCCAAAAAATATTCTTTTGTAAAACAATTACCAAATATTTATTTGGAACGTACAAAGGCTTCTAGCAATTCAGTGAAATGAACTTAGAATTGCTGTGCTTTATGTATTTTTTCCAGCTAATGGAGTAGAAAAAAAAAAAATCAATTGTTTTGAATCCAAGCCACAGAACAAGCCCCCCTTTAAAGCATAAAACAAGCAAGATGCCCTCAGTATTTGCGTAGGAAGAGTCTGCACAGACACTGTCTGATCGCACATGGTATGGAGAACTCCTTGCTACACACAAGCAAAGGGTAGCACAGATCTGCTTAATTTAAAGAAGCCACTGTTCTAACTTACTAGCAACCCATGACAGAACTGTAGCAAAGGAAAAGAAAAAAAAAAAAAAAAAAAAACACAACAAAAAAAAACTTCTGCCTAGAGCAGGAACTATATAATCTTGTACAGAACTATATAATCTTGTACAGATATTTCCAGCAAGTTTAATTTTCATGTTCTATTATTGACTCAACTTCATGTTTTTCTTTGCTCTTTCACTCCAGCCAAAAAAACACTCCCTGACTTTCTTTGGTCTTTCAACGTGCACTACTTCAAAGAAATTTTTCCTGCCTGTGCTGTCTTACAGCATGAGACATAAGCTCCTCAAATATTTGTGCAATTGTTTGGTAGTGGTAGCGAGACCCTAACATTTGACATTTGTTCACTCTTAGCCTTCTAATCCGATACTTTCAGTGATACAGTGGCATTTCCCACTACCTTGAACTCTTTGGCCTTCTCTGCCATAACAAAATACACATGATCATCTCCAGCTCTAGCTCTTTTCCTTCTCTTTCAGCACTTGCCAGGATTATGTTTTTCCAGCTCCTCCAACTACTTAAAGACTTAGCCTGGAGAAAGTTGAGTTTTGAGCATATTCCAGCCACACTCACCCACTGCTCCATCCCTCAAGCTTACTCAGATTTAGTTTCTCCAAGACGAAAAACTTTATTACAGACTATCAGAGAGAAGAGAGTTTTAGGAAGGGAAGGTCTGCAACGTATGTAGGGCAATGATAAGCATTTGCTCTTCTCCCATAGAGACTCCTTAATTCCATCACACTGTCCAACTGCATGTAGCCCAAATATTTCCCTCTGGATATCTCTTCTAGCCTCCAATTGCTTGAATTCTTCTTTTCACCAAAAAGATGTTTCTATTTTTCTCATCTACCAACAAAATTGTTGGGAAAAAAAGACCCCTTATGCTTCCTAAGTCACTTCTTTTCATCTCTCGTGTAGCTGGAGCAGTTTTAATCAAATTACACCAACTCCCACCAGCTAAATTATTAGCCCACACACTTCAGTAAAAAGACTGTTCTCATCTTCCTTCTCAGACAATCCTCCTATTCTTGAAATAGGATGCAACTCATACTCTTACTAACTTACTGACCTTACTACTCTTACTTACTTAATCTTTTCTTATTGTTCCCATCATGGTTCTTCATTCTTCATCAACTCTCACTCTATTCTCAGGTCTCTCTTTCCTCAGTAGCTTGTCTCAGGGACCTCATCTGCAAAACAAGTTGAGTTCCCATCACAGCACTGACTACTCAGGTCTATGTCTCTGCTCAGGATTGGTCTCCCAATGTTCCAAGAACTGTTTCAGTCTGGAATCTATGGCAATGGTAAAACAGAGCTTACTTTATCACCCAGAGCCTCCACAACTGCATTTATCATCACAGACCTGCCACATGCCTCTCAAACTCATAACCTGCATAGCATCTTTGACTGAACTATTCTGAGGTCAAGGCAGAATCTTTCAGAGCTTCTAGCCACCTGCTCAGCTGACACCAGTTTAAAAACCTCCATTTTGTATTTTGGCCTTCATTATCACAATGCCCTTTTTTCTTTGGACAGACTGTCAGTAACAGATCAGTAAGTACCACAGTTCCTGGTAACCCAATGGCTCCAAAGGTGACACTAAGAAGAGAAAGATATTGCATTGGTAAGATCACTGCTTTCTTCCATGAACTGACCAGAGAACATGTAGTACTCAGCATACGCATGCCCAGAGCAAGCCTTATTCATTATACAGCATCACCACCTAACCAACTTTATTGACTTCCTAATGTTTTAACTTAATTGCTGCCAATGAGCAAGACCTTCCTAACTCTGAAGGTACAGGTCTCCAGTAGCTTAAGCAGATCTTCTCAATTTCTTCATAGTAACACCAGCATGTCTACCAGGTTACACAACTAGTGAAAAAGCTACATGTTTTCAGACAGTTCAGCCCTGGCCCAGCTCACAACCTTCAGGCACTGTACTCGTAAGAGTGTCAAGTCTGAATTCACTCGGTGGAAGAAATCACCACTGTGGAAGAAGCCTTTACAGTTACCAAGCAGCAAAGTATAAGAAGATGAGGTCATTCAGAATTGATAGCAGAGAAGCCTTCATAGCCACAGGAGCTTGCACCTAGTTAGTTAACCAACTTGTGGTTAACTATTCAGCTTGCAGTGAGATTAAAAGCAGTCAAGCTTGCAGTTTTCATCAGAGCAACATGAAAGACTGCAGCATTGCACTGGTCTTTTACTTCTTCAAGCCCTCATAAAATGCCTCAAGAACATTTAGTAACAGCATCTGTATAAATCGAACAGTGCCTAAGCTGCCAGTGCTTGGAGATCAACACCTACTAAAGCTGAAGTGGGTTTTTTCCTACACTTACTTGTATTCCCTGGTTGCTTACACTTGCTGCATACTGGTTAAAACAACAACAAACTTTTGGTCAAGTGTTGTTTATATTCTGCAATTTTGTATGCAGAAATATGGCCCCCAGTCTACAAGGCAAAAGTTGAAAATTTGGTTGTAGCACATCACAAGGCAATCCTTCCTTGCACTGAAGATTTACACCAATTAGCACACAGCTAATTAAAATTTCTTTG